AAATATATTTAGACAACTGATTATTAGCCTTTTAATCAAAGCTTTTAACCACCACCACCACCAAAAAACAGCCATTGTAGTAGGTCGGTACAAACCATTTCGACACACTAGCTAGAATCACTTCGCCGAAAAAACCTATCGGCAACATCAATTACCTTACGCATAGGTATATATCGCACAATGTAAATGCAAGCATATTGCAAAAGGATTGTCCCTGATTCGCAACACCAATTACACCTCTAATAGAACTCAAAAAAAAATTCACACCTCTAATGGGTTGAAATTCACATCTTCCAAACAAATATATTTACACAGCATTGTAGTAGCTCCGTACAAACCATTTCTGACACCCTACCTAGAATCACTTCGCCTGAAAAATCTATCAGCGACATCGATTGTCTTATACATACCATTATATATCGCAAAATGTAAATGCAAGTATGCGAGCAACCTGCTTTTCTAAAAGTCCCAACCAAGTAGAGGCTCATGCGTCTTCGTCACCATAAACACTGTCTCATAGACGAACCCGGCGAGGGGGCCACCGACCAGCGGGCCGACCCAGTAGACCCAATGGTTGGTCCACACTCCAGTGGCCAACGCGGGCCCGAAGGACCGGGCGGGGTTCATGGAAGCGCCGGAGAAATTGCCGCCGGCAATGGTGTTGGCACCGACGATGAGGCCGGTGAGCATCGGTCCGTAGCCGGGCACCGTGGTCCGCGGGTCGAGGATGGTCGCGTACACCACAAAGAGGAGGGAGAAGGTGAGGATGATCTCCATGACCAGCCCTTGTATGGGGCCTATGCCTGTGCCCAGGGTGTGCACCGGAACCGGAGTGGCCTGCATCAATAATTGCAAATTTGGAGAATGTTCAGATTTAGGAACGACTCACTGTCACGGCAATCAATTGATATTTAAAACAAATAGTACACCTGTGTACTATACGGTCCCGTTTTCTTTGCGGGTGTACTGTACGTGTCCTTCTCGTACGTGTCCAATTACCAGGGCGGGCAGAACACATGGCTATGGCTGTAAAATTGGCATGGGTGGGCTCGTACCTGGCCGCCGGAGAGGTAGCGGAGGAGGATGCAGGCGAGGGAGGAGGCCAGCAGCTGGGCCGCCACGTACAGCACCGCCCTGAACGCCGTGATGTGCCCGCGCGCCAGCAGCGCCACCGTCACCGCCGGGTTGAGGTGCCCGCCCGACACATGGAACCCCGCCGTCACCAGCACCCCCGCCGCCAGCGCCTGCGCGAGGGCAACCCCGGCCAGCGTCGCCATCGGCATAGCCGCGCCCTGCAGCTCCGGCACCCCTGCAAATTAATCGATCAATCATGAGTACGTACCACTGATCCCCAACCTCACGGCTTGTCACATGGTCGAGAAGCGAATCGAATGGAGGAGGAGAACACGTGTGGTTTGTACGTAGGATCGCCAGCAAAGAAAATTGATAAAAAAGAAGAAGATGGGGCCAGGCCACCAGTTCATCTGCAAGAAGCTCGAGCCCCCGTGGATCCAGGCATCCAGCCGACCGTTGCCGCCGGCCCTCTGCCTCGTCCGTCTTTCCTTTCCTAGTCCCCAGACGACGGAGTCACCGGAGCAAGTTGGAGCCGCCGGAGATTCTCGGTCCGCGAACCAGGCCGACTAACAATTGGAGGATTAGGGGAGAGGTGAGCAGAGCACGGGTACGTACCGGCGGCCATGGCGGCGGCGACTCCGGTGAAGACGAAGAGGAAGGTGAGGACCAGCTCCCCCAGCACGGCGCGGACGCAGCCGGCGTCGACGACGACGACGTCACGCTCGTCGAGCGAATCCGCATGCTTGGTGTCCATGCTCGAGCTGAGCTCCACGAGGCTCGCCGCTCTGGTTCTTGGGATGTGGCGAGAGTCTGTGCGGCTCCGAGGTAAAAAGTAAGATCTTGCTTGGTGGCCGACCGGCGCGCCTCTGGTGTTTTATAGAGCAACATTTCTATTTTTATTTCGAGAAGATTTTATAGAGCAAAATGTATCTCTGTCTGCGAAATGGGTTTCGAGCGGGCTTTGCCGGGCCGAGGACGGTCGGACAGCGACGTCGTGGGCGGTCGGCAAGGGCCGGGGCCCGTGAACCCTGCACGAAAACGTGCGCCGAGAAAGCGCGGGGGGAGGTCGACGACGGTGAGGATGACCTGTGAGCGCACCAAGATATTTCTCTTCGCCTATGGCCTTGGGTGGGACCCTGGTGACCTGTGACTCAGACTTCCAGCTGCACATCATTTCTGTTTCCAGATGCGTGGCCTCCCTGCCGAGCACCCATTGGTACACGTCGTTTTGGGTGGGTGGATTTTACTGCCCACGTATTTCATTTTCATTTCAATGGAAACAGGCTAGCTGATGCCACCGTGCGCTTTATCGCAGATAAATAAAACAATATTAATTTATGGTCGCTTTCGAGTGAGGGGTAAATTCCATCCTACAACTTGCGCTTTTGGCCGGCCGGGTGCACATCGTTGGATACAAAACCGACCGGATCTCTTATAAATATAGGCATACAAAACCCGCGCATACAAAACCTTATAAATATAGGCATGTGCTTTGCGGGAAAGAAAAGAAAAAGAGGTGTGGGAGCATCTACAACCGGATCTCTTATATTCGTCCCAAACGTCCGGGCAGGCCGCCCGGTCACTACTCGGTCATGATTTTTTGACCTAGACGGGCCTCTCAAACGTCCGGGCTGACCAGCACCCCTCATATTCAGTCCAAATATAGGGCGAATACGGGGGTGCCCGGGCCCGCCCGCCACGTTGGACTGGCGAATGGGCTCCAGCCGAAAACGCCCTCAAATCCGGTGGTCCGAAGCTCATCTCCTCCGTCGGACCGGTGGTGCCGCGTGACGCAGCTCCGGTGGGCCGCGTAGTGCATTGCCCGGTTATTTAAGTCGACCGGCGGCATCGAAACCCTACCATCCATCCACATTTTCCTCCTTCTGCCGCCACCACTTTCCACTCCACTAGTAGCTATGCCCCCACGCCGTCGGGTGAGGAGCGAGCCCTTTCTGATGCCGAAGCGCCGGCTCGAGCTCCTTGAGCAGATCCAGGCTAGGCGTAGGGCTACCTCCGAATGAAGTTGATCCGGAGGAGGAGTTGGAGGAGGAGGAGGAGGAGAAGGACGAGGACGAGGGCGATGAGGAGGAGGATGATCCGAAGGAGGAGGATGCAGGGGATGCTGGCGATGGGGATCTCCAGGCGGAGCAACAGGCCATCCTCGATTCCCTCCGACCGGAGTCGGCTGCGGAGGCAAGACACCGTCGCCGGCAGAAGATGGAGGCGCAAGAGACAGAGATGTTAGTCTATATGGATGAGGTCGAGCAGGAGAAGGATGAGCCGGACCCCTCCTACCCGCCCGTCCAGCCGGCGCCCGGCACCGTCGTCGTGGACATCTCCGACGACTAAGAGTAGGTAGGATAGTACGTAGATGTAGTGCGTAGGATTACTTTTGCATGTTTTATATGGATTTAGGGAATGAAATATGAGAGAGACGGATAAAAAGTGGCTAATTTGAGGTGTGCCCGGTCAGTGTCTGTGAACGTGTCCGCACGCGTCCGCGGGCATTTGAGGGGCCGGATTTGTCATGTCCAGTTATAGATGCTCTGACTAGCTCCCATCTCACTTAAATGATAATTAGCAAATTCAAACAAAACGAGTTGTTACCGGTACTGTTTATGTAGATTTCATCTATTAACATGAATAAGTAGTAGCCGCCTTCAAGAACCCTAGCTTTCTGCCTCCCACCGGCGCTGGCGCCGATCCATCCTGTCTTCGATGGCCCTATGGCTATGGAGGCGGAGTGGATCTCGGTCCCTGTCGGTGGGAGGGCTTTGTTTTTAGATCTTTTTTCGAGCTTTGTTAGGGTTTGTGTGTTGTTCGGAAAGGCGAGACGGTGACGGCTTTCTGAAGATGGAATAAAGGTCTCCCCGCCTAGCCCCCGTTTCGGTGATGCGTCTTGTATCGTCGGTGGGCGTGTGGAGTTGTGTCTCCGGCGGATCTGTCTTTGGTTGATTTGCTCGGATCTGTTCGTCGTTCGTCTTCGTTCGTGTGTTTTCAGGTTGGATCCTTTTGATCTACACTCTTCATCCGCAGTGGTTGTTGTTCTTGTGTGTTGGTTTTATGGGGCCTTTTCACGACGACTTCCTAACTGTTTACTACAACAAGATTTGCCCGGCTCCGGCGAGGGAGGGGCAATGACAGCGGCGCGCCTTCGGCTCGCTTCAATGCTTGTAGTCGTCGCTAGATGGTCTACGGATCTGGATGTAATATTTATTATTCGAAATATGTATGTGGCACACCGAATCATTTTTGCAAAACTGCCAACCGCACTAGATGCCTTCGATTTCGCATCTAGCGGTCACTGTCTCATCGTGCGCATGCGGGCGAAGCGGAGATTGTGGGCGCATGTACTGGACGGAGAGAAGAGTTGAGAGAGATTGAGACGTGGGAGGAAGAAGCGGAGGAGAGGGAGAGGCGATCGGGCGGGGTGCTGACTTGGCGGCGGACCATCATCGGAGCCGGCAGCTCCATGGAAGCGCGCCAGAAGAGCTCCTCGGCCATCATGGAGTGGCCCTCGGGCGACCCCGGCTGCTCTAGCTCGTGGCTGATCTACTACTCCACCATGGCCAGGGTGGTGATCGTCGACGGCAGCGTGGGGCTGTTGGTTGAGATGAGCAACGGTGGCGCCGACGTAGTGTAGCAGTAGTAGTAGAGGGAGATGATGGTGCTGGCGGCGAAGCTGAGGAGGACGACTGTGAGTAAGACAAGGAGCAGGGTGAAGGCCTTGAGCAGGCACCACGACAATAAGCATCAGTCCTTGCGTGGCGTCAGGGGCACCACCACTCCTGCCGCCGCTTCCTCGTCCCGGACACTGCCTCGTCGAGACTTGAGCTACTTAATCGATTAGATTTCTGCGCCCCTTCCTGCAGGTCGATACGATCGAGCAGTGACGGCCACCACTGCCTTCAATTCAGTTCCTCCTCACTCATCCCACACGTACTACTGGTCTTCTGATCCATCAATTGACGATCAACTTGCTTAATGCGCGTATGTAACAGACAATTAATTCAGATCGACGATCGATCTCTCTCTGTAGCAAGGCAGAGGCGGGACATGTCGGCTTTCCTTCATATAAGAACATAAATTTTTTCTCTCCTTATCCGCTCTCCCCCCATTGTGATTTGTGACTGAACCTTCTTTTTTCAAAACGTTGGTGCATCTTGTGTCCTTTGGAATATCTGAATTTTACTCAATTCTTTGGTTTTCAGGGTATGTACTGTGTGAGCGTGAAAGCCATACTCGGAGTGGCACTATGGGAGGGACTCTACTGGAAAGCCAATCATTATAGTGAAAAAGTCTTGATCTTCTTGGTTTCAATGTTATCGAAGCCATGGTGTGTGCATTTTCATAACAAGAATACAGTGTTATATCCTTTTGAATTCAATTAGTCATACTGTACATTTTCAGTATAGAGTTCTTCAGAGAGTTCTTATTGAAGTTTGTGGAGCTGGTAACTGACAAACCGAGTATGATGTTATAGAAAATCATGATATATAACAGAATTTATATACTAATCAGGATAGGATAAACCTGCAGTAACGCACCATAGGACTGGGGCTTTGTTAGGATAATTTTGACGGGGTGAAAATAAGCTGTTGAAAAACACAAACCTCCGTAAACTTTTGTGAAAATAATATTGTTAATATACACATCACAAACTAGATAACTTACATACAAACACCGCGGTAGCTTTGAGTCAAAGGAAAAATGTTGGAAACACACCTCCGATGACTTCAATATAAATAACACGATAATATATGCACCACAGACCTAATAACTTAGGTGCAAACATCGTGGTATTTTTGGACCCAAGGAAAATTTTGTTAAAAATATGCCCATGGTAAATTCTTTGCAAATAGCATGGTAATATGTTCATCACAAACCAGATAATTTAGACGAAAACACCATGGTAACTTTGACCCTTGGGAAGAAAATTATTGACACGATTCCCTTGGTAATTTCTATGACCTCGTAATTTAAGTACAAATATCATGATAACTTTGACCATGTGAAAGGAAATCGTTGAAAATATATCCCTGATAATTTATGTGTAAATAGCATGGTAATACATGCACCGCATACCTGATAACGTAGATCAAAACACCATGGTAATTTTGATCCTCAATAGAATCTCTGTAAATAGCGTGATAATATATGTACCACATATTTGATAACTTGCGTCCAAATCATCACGATAACTTTTTGACCCATGGGAAATAAGTTGTTGAAACATACCCACCCCAGTAACTTTTTGACCTCGACCCGGAAAAAATTATTCAAACATCCCCTGATAATTTTTGTATAAGTAACATGGTAATATAAGCACTACCTAACCGATAATTTACGTGCAAACACCATGATAACTTTTGCTCAGGGGAAAAAGTTATTGAAAACATACTCTGGCTAACTTATGTGTAAATCGTTGGTAATATACGCCCTGTAGATCTGATAACTTACATACGAACACCGTGGTAATTTGACGAAAGAGAAAAAAAGTTGTTGAAAAACATATCCCGATAACTTGTGTAAAAATAGCACGGTAATATACGAACCACATACCCGATAATTTACATGCAAATACTGTGGTAACTTTTTGACCCGAAGAAAAAAGTTGTTGAAAAATATACTCAGATAACTTATGTGAATATAGGACAGTAATATATGCACCACATACCCGATAACTTACATACAAACACTGCGGTGACTTTGACAAACTCTAATTTTTTGGGTGAAAACATACTTCTAGTAACT